AGGTGTCATTTGATTGCTACTGCTGCCCCGGTATCCCGAGAGGAGTTGCGCCGATGTACCAAAAGATACTATACAGAAATCACAACGGCTCTATCAAAACGATGGCGTCCCGACCTGAAGCGGAAGTTCACAGCTTTCTATGCACACCGCNGAGAGGAGTTGCGCTGATGTACTAAAAGACAATGCAAAGATCATAACAGGCCTGTCAAAAGGATAGCATTCAGACCTCCGCTACACAAGGCAGTGCTAGAAGATTTGCACAAGGCCCACTTTGGGGTGAAGAAGATGAAGTCGTTGGCATGACAGATGTGCTGGTGGCCCGGTCTAGATGAAGATATTGGTCAAACCGCTAAGAACTGTGAAGCTTGCCCAAACAAGCAGAAGTCCAAACCGAAGAATTGGGCACCATGACCAAAAAGATGTGTACCTTGGCAACGCATGCATATCGACTTCTTTGGGCCGTTCCTCGGTCATTATCTCGCACCAGTACTCATCGATTTGTACTCAAAGTGACCCGCATCGTTTGTGGTGCGGGTTCTACAAAAGTGTTTCAGTCGGGAAGGCGTTTTACACGTGTTGGTGACCGATAATGGATAGCAGTTCTGCGCTGCGGGGTTGAAAACGTGACTGAACAGTATTGGTTGCTGACACCTGCTCGCAGCACTACGTCGTCCCTTCTCGAGCGGTGCAGCGGAAAATTGGATGAAAACAGTAAAGATTGCCATTTCCTCTGCAAATCCAAGGACAATTTTAGAGTTGGAGATGTTCCTAGACAAATTCCTGCTGTAATACCGAAATGCTGCACATGCCACCACCGAAGAGAGTCCAGCGAAATTGTTCAAAGCCAGCAATTTAAGGTCCACATTACGATGCGTGGATTCAAGTGACTCCGTGTACTTCCGAGTAACCATCAAAAGGAATCATTACCTGTAAGATTGATCAGACTATGTTTGAGATTACAGACCTGACAGATGCGACAGTTCATCGACGCCACATCGATCAGATTCATTACAATGAAACTCCTACATCGGTTGAGAACCCTACATAAGAGAACCAAGAAAGCTCGCCCAGTAATGCACCGTCACCAGCTACAAAAGTCCCTTACTTCAGCAACATCGACCGATGAGACGCTGAGGAACGGGAAATGTGGTGATCCTAACATGCGAGATGACGCATACTCTGGGGCGACGCGTTACAATGATCACTTAAGCTTCCCATACGACGTCAGCAAAGCGCGTGCATGCTACAGTCTCCGGACGACATACCATACGTCTAACGTACCAGACAATGAGACCCCGTGTGGCTCAATACAGAAGCAGAACAATGGCGAAAATGCTAAAATGCAATTGGCAGACGCCATGTTGAACAATGAACTCGTTTCGTACGCATCATTTATTCCCTCTGCTTTCTTTCAATAAACGAATTGCTATTTCTGTGATCTT